ATTTGGGAGGAGCCTTTCTCTTCCTTTGTCAGTCATGAACGTCATGACTCACGGGGTTCGACGGTTGCCCCCGTCTACTTCAAGTGTGACACACAAGGATCCGCGCTATAAGTGGTGCGGTGTACCGCACCCGGATCCGCTCTAGAAATGTTACGGAGATCAGCGCTCCAGTCTAAGGGTTACTCCCAGGGGGTCTCCGCAGCAGGTACCGTGATAGGTTGCTCATCAGACCTCACTGTGTGTTTTCATAGTTATTTTAAATTTGGATCAAGTTAAAATTTTAAAATAAAAAACATAAAGTATAATAAGATTAGTCAGTTTGTCCTAATCTTTTAGTGACAGGCTGACAGAGTTGTTCCTCCAAATCAATGACCGACTTTGGGAGTTGGCCATCCAATTATTTTTTGATTTTTTGATTTTTAGGGAGTTGGCATCCCAAACCACCCCTGATGCTTGAGGGTTTTTGGGAGTCGCTTTCTCCCATGACCAGAAGGATTTCCTTCCAGTTGATGAGGAACAAAAACCTCATTGGCCAGAAGGGATTCCTTCTGGTCAATGAGGTATAACAATCGGTGTAAGAATCGTGGTTGTGAAACTCTTTTGCTGACTGGAGAAGGGGATGGTGGAGGTGCAAGCTCTGCCCTTCTATGCTACCAGAAAAACAAGACCACCAAGCTTAGCTTGGCAGTTTATATATTGTGATAGAGGATAGTTCAATATGAAGCTGTCAAATGGTATGTATAACGGTTGGAGGTGTTGAGGATTCTTGTTGATGATATTATTGCTGATGAAGTTGTTGATAGAGGTGTTGATGATTGTTGTCAAGGTTGAGGCTTGAACACAGGTCCTTGAGGTTAAGGGTATATAAAGTTGAAAAGAGGTGTTTTGGAACCAATGTGCTGGGCACTGGGAGCACTATGCTTCAACCAGGAACGGAACAGGGGACTGGGCACTTGGTATGATGATGATGATATGAAAGTGTTATGAATGTATTGCAATAAAATAAGGGTGGTTATATAACTGTGACTTGAAATATAATGGGTGGTAATTGTAAGGGTGGTTGAGATGATCTGGTCCACTGGTGGGATGATGAAAGGTACAACTGGCAGGCAGAGGCCTCCTTATATAGACAAAAGTGAGGGATTTTAGCTTCAGGGTACAGACTTTGAAGCATTTTGGCTGGCCTGAAAATACAATGAGGGAATTTAGCTAGTCTAGTACATGCAGGTGAGGGAATTTGGCTGGTGAGAGCACTGCCTTGAGGTATTTTGGCTAGCCTACAAGGTCCTACTACAAAGGAATACATGTGCACTTAGAGCAACCACATCGGTGCGGGTCTAAGTTGCGGATTAGCGGATTAGCGCTACTCCAGGCTGTCAACCGCATCAGTCTGGTGTAAACCCAGGAGTAAACCACTTACTCCTCTGACTAATCTTTTCAACCACATCGGATTGATTCTGCTCGCCAGAAATGGCACCCAATTTTCTTTTCAAAGACAAAGATTTCAAGACACGACAACAATTTTTTTACCTCCTAAGCGAAGATTTCAAAAAGGATGGCCTCGATTCTAGCCACTCTGAGGAAGAGATCAAACCAGCCAAGAAACAGTGTCGAACCAACAAGCGCCGAGACCATCTAGAGAACCATGAACAATTGATGAAGGATTATTTCAATTCCGGCTCGGACTACGATACTTGAGATTTCACTCGCTGTTATTGAATGGAGAAGGGTCCGTTTTCGTGTATCCTTCAGGATCTAACTGATCATTATACTTACTTTGTTCAAAAGCCGGTGAGCCTCTGTTTTCTTTCTTTGTAAATACAAAAAACAGCAATCTGATTTCTTAATTCCATTGGATTTCAGGATTGTACTGGGAAACTTGGATTGAGTCCTCATCAAAAGATAACTGCTGTAATTCAACAGCTAGCTTATGTGATTCCCCTAGATGCAACCAACAAATACTGTCGACTTGGTGAGACAACTGCTCAACAAAACATGGAGCATTTCTGTGCAGCAATTCAAGAAACATACGGAGAGACCTACCTGCATGCACCAAATGAAGAAGGTTTGAAGAAAATTCTTGCCAAAAATGCAGCCAGAGGATTTCCTGGATGTATTGGAAGTCTTGACTGCATGCATTGGGCCTGGAAGAACTGCCCAACCTCTTTGTAAAGATAGCCTCCGGGTACCCGTTGAGGGGTACCCTGCACCCGTTGAGGGGTACCTCCCACACCCGTTACACACCCGCTAGGGGGTGCCGTGTGCGGTGTCAAGTGTCCTGTTTGGCTGACTAATTGTGCTGGTACCCGGGTACCAACACAGGTACCCGGCAAACCCCCCTTTCATTCGGGGCTTGCTAGATTGGTGGATGTGAGATCAAACCTCAATGATATCCCCATACATATAGAGCTATCACCTCTTGATATCAACCATCAACATGCCCCGTGGCCGCACCCGACCACTTGCCCAGAGCTCTGGGGGCTCCTCTGTCTCTCAACAACCTGGGGAAAACGAACCCAAAGAAGTCGAATTTTCCCCCTTAACCGATCAGCAGGAGTTAGGTGAGCTGTTGATTTGCTCTTTTATTCCGTTCCGTTCTGTTGCACTACAGCCCCTTTTTGACTCTTTCCCTCTTTTTTTACTATTTGCCACTTCTAGAAAAGGCCCAGAGAATTGCAGCAAATTCAGTCAGTGAAAGCTACAAATCGTATGAAACCCCTGAGCTTTCAAAACAAAAAGACAAGTCTGGCCGGTTCATGATTGCTTATCCCTGCAAAATGTATGTTTTTACTCTTGATCTCTATCTCTAAGTATCAATCAATGCAAAGGAGATATGCTAAGCTGACATGTCAATTCAGGTGTGGCACAAAGATCAGCCGACCAACATCCGACTCATCCTGTAGCAACCTATTGAAACATGCATCAAATTGCTTGCGCAAGCAACAAGAAAACAAAAAAAACCAATCGTTGGCTGCACTCGGGATCACAGGGACAGGAGACATTGATCCAAAAGAAGTAAGTTAATTTCAAATTGACTTCATTGACTTCCAGATTCAACGACTCACTCTTAGTATCTCTTAGGTTCCACAGCTATGTGCTGTATGGTGCGCAGAAGCGGCTCGGCCCTTTTCCGCACTTGCTGACCATAGCCATAAATCTCTGCTCCACCCGGTTGTTCTCAAGAATTTACCCACAAGCAAAGCGGTGTCAAAAGACATCCACTTACTTTACTCCGCTATCCAAGGGGAATACAGGTCTGTTTTACAGGTGAGCTCATCTTTGTCTGTTCTCATCATTGGTCTGTGAATTTGCCGGGCAAGTATAAACTTGCCACTCTCCTTTAGGCACACAAAGGTGCGTTATACCTTGGTGTTGATGCTTGGCAGTCCCCAAACGGTTTCGATATCCTGGGGGTGGTAATTTACCGATTAAAAGTCATAGAAGAGACTGGCGATTTTGAACTCGAGTCTATGCCGCTTGACTTTGTCCAACTTTTGCAAAGGCACACCGGCGACTACTTGGCGCATGTTGTCCGATTGGTGGTCGAAAAGTTTGGGATTCAAGATCGTGTAAGCCTAGTTGTCCTATTTACTTCCTATGTACTTAGATAGCCAAAGCCGACTAAGGTAATAATTGTGTAGATCTGTGGAATTGTAAGCGATAATGCATCAAACAATGAAGTGATGATTAAAGAGCTCAAGAGGCTCAAGTGGCCCCGCTTCCAGGGTGAGACCCATTGGATACGATGTTTTTCTCACATCCTGAACTTGATAGCCCAGGGAATCCTGCGACCTTTCGGCACTCAGAAGAAGAGGGGCACCGGAAATGATCGGTCTACATCTATTGACGATGAGGAAACTAGCTTGGAGGAAGACAATCCTGATGCCCAAATCAAACTGTATGTAGCTACCCACTCTCCAGCACCAAGTTTCAATCTTTGGCTGATCTTTTTTTTGTGTGCATGCTTTTAAGGCTCTCCCCTGACGAAGATGTCATCTCACATCACGATGATGATTCAAGTGAGGGTCATTCGACTGATGACGAAGTCATTGACGATTCAGAATCACTCAACGAGTCGGATATTGAAAATGGTAGTGAAGAAGATGAAGGTGATCGCTACACAAGTGAATTGTGCAAACACACTTTGGGCAAAGTAAGTTTTTACTGATCCAGGTCATTCTACTGATCATATATTAACAATCTTGCTATAGTTTCGTCTGATTGCAAAGAAATTAAGATACTCTCCCAACTCCAAAGCTGAATTCATTGAGTTATGCCGGGAGAAAGGGTGCCAGACTCCACATAGCATTGAAAGAGATGTTCGTACGCGTTGGAATTCGACAAATGCTCAGCTCAAGAGCATAATAAGGTGTAAACCCGCAATGTGAGTTCATCGGTATTCTGTTTCTTAACTTCTGACCCCAATAAACTGATTCATTTGTGTGTTGATTATCAAAGTCTTGAATGGCAGAGACTTAAACGGTATGGTCTTGACCGTAAGCATTACGTAGACGAGTCAGACTTTGACTTGGCACGAGATTTGGTGGACATCCTCAACTTGTTCCATGAGGTAACATTACAAGTATCGACTGCAGGCTCTGCTTGTTTGGCCAATATTGTAGTCTTCATCGACCAGATCACCGAACATCTAGCAACGGCTGTCGTGGACACCAAGTATCCTCCAGCTCTCAGAAACGCTTGTCGGGTTGGATTGAAGATTACAAATAAGTATTACAGTTTGACCGATTCATCTCCTCTTTACAGGATTGCAATCTGTATGTCATTTCCCCCCTCTTTTTTGTTGTTGGTTTAATTATCACTGAGCTGGTTTTTTGGTGCAGTGCTGCACCCGTCATTTCGCGATGAGTACTTCAAGCTGGCTAAATGGGAACCCAAATGGATTTCTGAAGCCATTCGACTTGCTCGGGAAATGTGGGTATCTCATTACAAGCCGCGGCCGATCACTGCTCCCTCTGCTACACCAACTCCAATCTCCAGGGTCAGTCTCTCGTCTTTTTCTTTCCCCTCTATATCAGTTGTTAACTCACATCTCTTATTCTCACAGCCAGCAACAGGCATGCTTGCTGGCCTCAGCAATGCAGCAGCGGCCCGAGGCGGAAATAGCCACTCCGATGCGTTGGATGTCTGGTTAGCAGGAGGACTCATCCTGAACGGTAATGAACCGGTGAATCCCCTAAAGTGGTGGATCCAGCAGAAGCGAGCTGGAAATACCCATGGCGGTCTGGTACATATGGCGCTTGATGTTCTGGGATGTCCAGGTGTGTGAGGGTTCAATTAACTCATTTTTTTCCTCATCAAGTTAACTAACCGGTTGCAAATCCCAAACTCTCAGGAACATCTGTAGATGTAGAGAGATCGTTTAGCTTTGGTAGCGGTTATGTTACGTCAAGACGACACAGGCTTGCACCCGAGTCAGTAAGTAGGGGCATGACGGTGTCCTTCTATTCAAAGAATAACCGGATCAAACCCGGGATTTTAGCCGAATGGAAAGAGGGGAGGAAGTTAAACAAGAAGATGAAGCAAAAAGGGAAATGAAAAATTGTAGTCTTAGATGATGATTGACCCCCACATCAATGGGGGTCAGTTCTTTTTTTCTGCTGTTTTCTTTTTTCTTTGGGCTTGAAACGACTATGATTTCTTTAAAATAGGGGGGGTACCCGCGGTACCCCCCTTGAGTACCCGCGGTACCCGTCGGGCGGTGTGAGGTGCGGTGTCAGGTGCTGAGATTAGGTGAAAAAACCACCAGGTACCCGGGTGCAAACGGGTACCCGGGTCCACTGGGGCCATCTTTATGGTATGGTATGTAATGGTAGGGGGTATGTGATTTGTGGGTACTAAACTGAAGAGAAAAACAACTGGGAGGAGAGCCTCCTTAAATAAACAACAATGAGGGAATTTGGCTCCAAGGGAGAAAGAGAAGGAGAGATTTTAGCTGGTCAGAGCTGTACAAATGAGGTATTTTAGCTGGTTGTACAGCCTACATGATGTAATTTGATTTATTTTAGCTAGAAGAGGCAGTGTACATGAGGGGTTTGCGCTAGCCTAGCAATCTGCATGATGTCATACAGACTGCATGAGCTCAGCTGCAGGAAGATTATCACATGACCTGACAAGCTGCATATGCTGTACACCTGACCTGCCAGGCTGTGTAAGCTGTGCACCTGTCAGAAGATTATGATGTCATATGGTTACCTGTGCCCTGTAGTGAAGTATTTGTGTAATTTGTGTTGTGTAGTTGTCCTGTGTGGTTGATTGAGTGTAATTGAGTGTTGTACATATCCAGAGGTGTGTAACCTCCATACCAGTAGAGTTACAGAGATACCTCCAGTGGTGACCATGGGTGAACTGATCTGTAAAATGCAGTTCTTGAGTTGTAATGAGTGGTAGATGAGTAGAAATATAAGTAAAAAATTATAAAGAAAAGAATAGAAAAAGAAATAATAGAAAACTTTGAATTTTTACACATTCAGCTACCACACCGGCCTTGAGACCTTACATTCAAGGTCAAGAGGAACACCTCTTTTCTTGAGACTGTACAGCATCTGGGCTGATGAGGTCATCCTAATTGACCCAAAGAGAAAACCCTACCAATGGACAAAGTACTTGTACCTTGTCCATTGGAAAAAAAGCCTTCCGGTGGACGAGATACATTTACCTTGTCCATTGGAAGGAAACCCTTCCAAAGGATGAGGTACATGTACCTTGTCCACCAGAAGGGAAACCTTTCCAAAGCTCATGAGTCCAAAGAGGGCCGTCTGTGAATGAGATAGCCAGAGTTCATGAGCCAAGAAGTTTGAAGAATGGCTCAGGTTGGCATTTGAAGGAGCTCACAAATCAAAGATATCAATTGTCTGGAGTGTGAAGGTACAACCCATCTCTCCTGAAGGAATCCCTCCCAACAAGATGGTATACAACCCAACTTGTCTGGAGGCATTCCTCCTGAGAAGAGGGTATACAACCCACCTTGTAGGGAGGAATCCCTCCCAACAAGATGGTATACAACCCACCTTGTTGGGAGGGATTCCTCCCAACAAGATGGTGTGCAACCCATCTTTGCGGGAAGTATTCCTCCCAATGAGATGGTTTACAACCCACCTTGTTGGGAGAAATCCCCCCCAATGAGCTGGGATTGAGTCAGCTGGTGTACAGGACACTGGCCAGTGTCCTGCAGACCTTCTGGTGTGCAGACATGCATGCCTCTGAAACAAGGCATGTTTGGCCGCACACCAATCAGCATGCACAGGCGTGCTGATTTCAATTGGTGTGCGGCCAAACACTTCCCTCAGAGAAGGGTGTGTGGATTGGTGTGCACTAAGGGGGGGGAGTGTGATTATCACTCCCCTTGGGGGATTTGTCTGAGCAGGTGATGCTCAGATCTCAGCAGAGTGTTGATCACTGGGTTTTTGAAAGTCTGACACCAATAAACCCCAATTTGATCAGCTTCAAGGTTGTATTGTATTGGCCTGCCCAATACCACCAGGATAATTGGGCTTTATCTTATTGGCTACACAATAGTGGCCATCAATTTCATGTATTGTGCCAGGGAGGGCAATAAGATACTGGGATGTGAGATCATGTGGAATTTCAAGGCAATAACACCCCAATACCAATACCTGTCACAGATTGGTTTCACTACAAACAATACCAGTTTTGCCCCAGGAAAAAATGGTGATTTGGGTGGTGGAAAATATATCAATTTCCCTGAGGATTTTTTACAAAATGACTCAGGAGTGAAAATTAGGCTAAAATGAGCTATTTTAGCCAAAAAATAAAAATGCCTCAAATGAGCTAAAAATCAATTTTGGAATGTTTGAGGCATTTTTATTTTTGGGCTGAAATAGCTCATTTTAGCCTAATTTTTACTCCTGAGCCATTTTGTAAAGAATACTCAGGGGAATTGATATATTTTACACCACCCAAATTGCCATTTTTTACTGGGGTGAAACTGGTATTGTTTGAAGTGGTTTCACCATTGGGACAAGCTAGCTAAAGTCTGGCATGCAAACTTATTGAATCAGTTGAGATGGAAGTAGATATGGTCTCCCAGTGCTGGGTGAAACACATGAGGAAAAAAATAACCATAATAATGTCAATGAGGTAGAAAACGTTGATGAGAAAATTGATGACCAAGGAGATGCTCATGACCTGATGTGGTTTGTGAATGATAATCTTAATTGTCTTGCACACACTGGATGACTTCCCATTGCAATCTACAACCCTCCCAGAAGTCAATTTACACCCCTTAGAGCATCTCCAGCAGAGCCGCGACTGGGCAATTTTCAGCCCAAATCAGCGGCTCGCGGGAGAATTTTGGGGTCCAGCAGAGCCGCAACCAGACCCGCAACTGATTGCCCCCCACCTTGCCCCCGGCTAGAAACCCAAGGCAATAGCCGCTTTGGCAGGGGGCGGCTACTCGCTCCTTGCTGTGTTTTTCTCAAGTCACACACCACACACCAACACAACAGCCAACAGAATGCCTGTTTTCATATCAATCTTCTTTTTTTTCTCACTCGTTGCCTCTGTTTTGATATCGATCTCATGATTTTTTCACCCTTACATGTTTTTTTATTCCAATTGATCGTTCGCTTTCTTAACACAAGAAATAAAATTCTCTTTTGTGATGAAAAGCAAGAAGCAAGCGATCAAGACCAAAAAAAATTGATTTCCATGTGAACAAAAGTAAAAAGCAAGCAAGACTAAATACATCTGATGTGATGAAAGGAAGAGAAGCACATCACAGAGAAGAAGAGTCGATCACACATGATAGAAAAAAATTCAAATTAACATCAATCATTCATAGATATTCCCTCCGTCTGAGCTCTCGGTTCAACCAATAAGTGATGTATGATACATGCTCTTGCGCCACCTGACTCGTTTTCCATGTAGCTTCCATTGCTGCTCGATCAGATCTGCCTTCAACTTTTCATGCGCTGAGGTATTCCTCATAGCTTGGTAGCGCTGAAGGAAGAAATTAAAATCACTTGCTTCAGTCTCCGTGGTGTTGATTGTTGAGGCTTCCAAAGCGGTTGGCTGATCATAATTGATTCTGTTTTCATAGTCTGTGTCCCTCTCATCTTCTTTCTTCCTTTTTGAGATCCACCCCATCAAGGTCGTTGAGCTTGCAGTATTTGCCAGGTGAGTTGGATGTCGAGATAATCATCATCCTTGTCCATAACTTTGAGTCAATCCATAGTACTCATTGTGGTGGCGGAGGTGTCTAGTCTACATACCAGAGCTTGGCGACTTGGCCAACCGCCCCCTGCTACCTATTGCCAGTCTGCTGTGGGAGCAGTGTGACAGGGCTGAGACAGGGGTGTGAAATGTGGTTGCAGGCCGCTATTTGGACACAAACTGACCCCGGCTCTGCTGGAGATGCTCTTAGATCTAATTTTTTCAACAACAAAAATATCTTCTCTCAAGCCTTCTAGCAATAGCTCTCATGTGAGCTAGTTGAAATGGTAATTGTGGTGTTAATTTAGGACTGAGAGAGGTCTAAAAAGCTTTCTAAATTGCAATGAGAAGCCCTCCACTAGATACATTCCAGTGTCTAGTGAGTCTGAGGGTAGCCCAGTTACTGGGTTTGGACGCTTATCTTGGGCAAGCATCACTTGGATGCTTTTTGGAAAGCATCCAAGCGATGCTCGATCGCCAAAGGCATCCACTTGCCTCAGGAAGGTGTCCATCAGACGGAGCCAGTTTCAACAAACTCGCCCCGTGGTGTAAGCGCGAGCTGAGCTTTGTCGTTCAAGTTGCGGAGGTTTTCTTCGCAGCTTGTCGATCATCTGCCATGATGTGATATTCCCCTGGTACATCTTCCTGAGGATTGCGATGAAAGAGGATGAAAGGTGGTGCATGTGAAATCGTTAGTTGGAGTGTTCAGGCTACCGAGAATATACTTCTTCTGGCATGGGTGATCTCAACCAGGATTAAAGTCAGATTGAGTGATTTTAATCCAGTCGGAGACTCGGAGGTGAAAAAGGAAGTATGTACATACTAAAATAAGGTTTGGCTGACAGCTGTGCATACATCCGTACTTGGATATCCGAACTCAGCAAATCTGATCGGAGTGACCACAAACTCAGCCGATGACCATCACCCCCCTCTCCTTATCTCTTTATCTCTCCCCTCTCTCTCTCTCTCTCTCCCTCTCCTGTTGACCAACAACAACGACAGCAACCAACTTGGGACACTTTTCTATCTGGCTATCGACAAACTACATCATACGAACACTCGAAACTATGTCTGCCTCGCGATTGCCACCCTCGCTTGACGAACCAATCGAATCAACTAAAGATCAGGAACCATTCAACATCACCCTTCAACCATCTTCAAACTCAAGCCAATCTGATCTCAGTCTGGACGATGATCTCCTTCGACGGCCCTCACCACCACCTTCAACCTCTTTCACCTTTCGGTCTACCTTCGCCGGTATCCTTATCGGCAGCCTACTCGCTTTCACAAACATGTACTTTGGTCTACAAACAGGTCAGTCTGTCATTCATCACTATCCAGACAACCTGAGCCCTGCTGACCTGTTCTGGTGCTTCCTCTGTCCTCTCAGGCTGGATCTCCATGATGTCACTACAATCGAGTCTTCTGGGATACGCCGCATTCAAACTCTTGCCCAATTTCCTTAATTCGACCCCTCTCACAGTTTCAGAAAATGTCAGATCTCTCTTTTTTTTTTCTTCTCACACTTGTGAAAAAAGAGAGCATGTAGATCCAAATTATTCCGAATTTTCACGCTGAAATTGAACCATGAACCACAGGTACTACTACAAACCACTTCTACCGCTGTTTGTGCAATGCCACTGACTGCCGGTCTCATCGGAATCATCCCCGCCCTTGCTCAACTTAACCTGGAATCCGATGGATTAGCCCCCATCACGTTCTCACCAGTGGCCCTGATCACTTGGTGCTTTGCCATCGCCTTCTTTGGGTGAATACCTATCCGGATAAGACAGAAACTCTACACAAACCACTAATGCAGACCTCGGTAACTTTTTGTTTCACAATCCAGTGTCTTCTTGGCGATCCCTTTAAGAGAACAAGTGATCATCAAGGAAAAACTTCCATTTCCCTCAGGAACCGCAACAGCCCAAATCCTCGCCCTATTACATCAGAAACCGATGCTCTCTCAGGCCCCACTGAATCCATCTTTTGACCAGCCCGAACACTCACCCGAACCCTTAGGCCAATTCCATCCACAACAGTGGAAGTTACTGATATCCACTTTCACGGCCTCAATCCTTTTTAGCGTACGTGTGTGCGTATAATCATACATCCACACCATCCACCGTCTTCTAATCTTCAAAATCTCAAGGTTGTGTAAACCAAACTTGAAAACGGCCGTTGACACACAATCAACTTCCACTTTCTCTATCTTCCACTCGAATATCTCTATAGATAATATCCTTGGCATTCCCAGTACTATACGCTTTACCCATCTTCGACGTCTTTGGCCCATTAGCTCATGACTGGTCATGGTGGTTAGTGTTCAAACTGCCTTCCCTTCAGTAGCCTTTCCAACTCTTGATGATGATATGCATACTTCCACAATACATATGGTGTTTTTTTGATTAAATTCATTCTTCAGGTTCACGCCCTCATTTGCGTTTGTAGGACAAGGAATAATCATGGGATTTCATACGGGCTACAGCATGATGTTTGGGATGTTGTTTGGATGGATGATTTTGGCACCGTTGGCTGTCAATTTGGGGTGGACTACTCCTGAGTCGGTAAAGAGTCTGCAACTTTTTGCTTTGTCTTGTTTGGACTTGTTTGAGATTTTCTTGTTGCCAGTCCTGAAAGTATCTGTTTCTTGCATTGGGTTTAGGTTGGATTCTGTGGCCGGCACTATCGATCATGATCGTTGAATCATTATTCAGCCTCCTGGAATTCAGTATCAGTCTACTCAATCTTCAATCAAGTCCCTCGCCCTACTCCCCGCTGGCAACAGACGAAAATGATGTACCCGAACGTGGGGTCAAAGAGCCTACAATTGCGATCAGCTTCAAGAAGGCTGCAATCGGCTTTTCACTCTCTTGCCTCGTCTGTGTACTCATCATGGGCATCTTATTCAAGGAGATCAAGTGGTGGGCGACGGTCGTCGCATTGATTCTAGCTTCAATCTTTAGCCTGCTAGGGTTAGTTCTCATCTTGCTCACCCAGATGTCGCTACTCCAATCTACCCAAAGGTTAATTTTTCATGTTAAACTAAAATCGGACTTTGCGGATCAAACCTATTTCAGAGTGAGGGCACTCGGCGAAACAGATTTAAATCCAGTCTCTTCGATCGCCAAAATTTCACAACTAGTATTTGGGGTACTTCAACCTCAAAACTTGGTTGCCAATCTGATAGCGGGTGGAATTAGTGAAGCTGGTGCGATGCAATCTGGCGAGCTTATGCAGGATTTCAAGACGGCTCAACTACATGGAGTCGACCCAGCTAGCATGTTCTATGGCCAGGTCAGACACGTTTCCTGGATAATTGATGATGAAAAGATGCTCAATCTAAAGGTTCATACCTTTCTTTTTTGGTTGATTGGTAGATGATCGGCTCATTTGTTTCAGTCTTCGTGTCGAGTGGCGCTTACATATTGTATAGTAGAACATATACCCTACCAAGCAATACGTTCCCAGTTCCTACAGCTGCAATATGGTAAGTTACACCTGCCGTTTTGCTGCGCAAAAACCTAATTCTTCCATAGAAAAACTCTGATTGCTAATTAATGTATTCAAATGGATTGTTGAATCGGGTCTTCCCAGGTTAAGCTTGGCTCGATTGCTAAATGACGGAGAGTTGCCCAAAGGAAGTAGATTGATGATGGTGATTTCCGGATTCATATTCTTTATTATCGGTGGGTTCAAGTTATTGTTTAAACGGAACAGCACTCATTTCAGTTTTAGAATCATCACCAAGTTCAAGCATCACCCTTCTTCGTGGTTCTTGCCATCAGGGTAAGCTGGGCTTCTATGAATTTCGCGTGTAAGGTAATCCACACAAGTTGAACTGATTCATTCAACCGACAATAAATAATAATAAAAAACAGAATTGCTTTTGCCTTGGGAATGATCAACACGCCCTCGTTTTCAATGGCCCGATTCATAGGAGGCGTGATAGCATGGAAAGTCGAACAACGCCGGAGTCTTAAGCCAGAAGGGGGAAGGACGATGGGAGCTGATGAGAGCTACGATTCGAGGCGGATCTGGCTGATCATCGTCGCGACCGGTTTCGTCTTGGGCGAAGGATTCGGTAGCATCTTCAATCTCATCCTCAAGTCTTTCTTCCAATTCAAACCTTTATCTTGCTGGGGATGCGGACTCGGTGGAGGCGGGTATTGTGGCGATTGCTAAGACTCCACATCCTTCTTCTTTTACCTTTTTTCCTCTCTTTCACTCGTCATTCGGAAATCGGTGGATATGCTTTTTTGCTTTGTTTTTGTTCTCTTTTTTTTTGGTAGTCCATATAGATAGGCCCTTTTTTTCCTTTTGGGCTGGTTGATAGAGTTTTTTTGTTTTGTTTTGTATTGGAACCATCCTTTCTTTCTCGCTCTCACATCATTTCTGATTTCTCTCATCTCCATCTTCCATCATGAGCTTCTCTTTAAATATACATACGCATCATGACAAGATCATGACTCACTCATACACTGTTATTCTTTCTACTTTCTAATGTTCTTATGATTAGATTCCATTGTTGTTGTTTTGTCTTCTTTGGGTGGAAGGAAGGAACAGAGGAGACTTTGTATTTGTAACTCAATTTACTACCTGTTTTCTTCTTCTTTTTCTTGGTGGTGGTGATGTATGTATGTATCACAACACCAGCTTGACAATGTGTTTCTTCCTCTAATATGACAACCCTTTTTATTCATTTGGGTACACTTCATAGACTTGATTTATTGATTCTTATGGCTGGATTTAGCACAAAGGAACTGCCTGCATATACAGTTCAGCTATACTATGCTGACTGAAACTACATGATGCATGTCTTGGATTTCTTTATGCTTTGATGGATCCTATGTTCACCTTCAGCCAACCCAATAAAAAATATTCCTGAATCCTGATACTGTGATTTGTTGAAATCTCTACCAGAAATAAAGAGAGTTCGTATAAATGTTCCTTGAACTGTTCAAAGACATCTGATCCATACATCTCACTTCCAATGCCTGTGGATGATCTTGATCATGAAGTGCTTCGAAAACCTGCCCTACTCCTACTGCATATACATTGTGAGATTTGTGGTCTCCCATGAGAAGAAACTTTGGAAATAGTGAGAGTCGACTCAGCAAAAAGAGTGCCAGAGGCTGAACCCTTGCGGGCCGAGAAAGATTGGTATCACACATTTCCACCTGACCCCCGGGTCTCCCTAGTAAAAGGCGAGGGGGACGTTCGAGTTTGAGGCCAGACGGTGTGTGTGGAATGGGGCGCTTATTACATAACAATATACCCCAAAGTCGCGGCTCTAGGTTCGATTCCCCCTTGAACTTGGACGCTGAATGAACCATCTCCCTACTCGTGCTGAATGGTACACAGCTGTTGACAATCAAGAACCTTCGTCTTCAGTCACACAAACAAAAAAAAACTGTTTTTGCACGGATCAGGATGGGCCAGGATAGCAGCGATGGACATGTGTAACATGTTGTCCTCTCAAACCTGCCAACTTCGTATATGTGAATAATCATTGATTTCCAGAGCTAGATTGTAGCATTGTGGGGAAAGAAGCCCAGCAGAAAGAATAAATCACGAAATGGAATAATCATGTTACAGGGCTTGTATATTGTATGTGGATAGTTTTACAACAGGATGCGGCATACGGCCCAGGAAAAAAGCAAACAGCAGAGAACAAATGACGAAAGCAGACAAATAACTATTTCGTCGCAAGGTAAATAGAGCGAGGGATTCCTAAATGCCAGAGAATCGGTCGGGGAATACCACCGGCGCGACCAAAGTCCAGGCATAGATGACCATACAGACCCAACTGCTGATGATTCGCATCCACATGGTTACTGTACTGTGTCCGATTTTGACGGGGGTCGCATTATCGGCAGAATCATGCCCAGAGCGAGTGACGATATTCCTGTGAGCACGAAAGAAATGAGTGGAATGAGTGGATCTTGCTATTGCGGTTCACTCAGGGATCCAAAACTCGCGAATCGACAACTTACCAATGTGTTAATAGCATTGCCACATACATCGTTGCCAGAACGAAGATGAAATGGAATGATGAGTAGTGATATCTGACTTTGATGGTCTCGTCATCTTTATCCTGTGACCCGAAATCTTCTCGGTCATTATCATCATCATCTTGATCCTTGGCCAACTCTTGCTCCAAGGCACTAGCAGGCAACGAGCCCTCGTCGATTGCCGCTTGAATGGCTTGGATTCTCAGGGGGTCTTTCTTCTTAGGCTGAGTTGTAATCGGTGCCGGGGTTGGTTGTTCGGGATCGGCATCTTGAAGGGCGACATAGCCAGTGTCAGCCGACTCGCTCATCATTCCAGTAAACTCAAACGAGCGGGTACCGGCCCGGAAAGTCGTGTAGGCAACTGCCAGGAGGGTCATGATAGCTCCAAGAACGACCATGGACGTCTCAGTACCTTCTTGTAGTTTGGTTAGTGGATTGCAGCGACTGTCCCCGTCATCGTGATTGGCAACAGCTGAAGTAACGAGTTGGGTACAGTAGATAACCACGACACCCGATTGAATGACTCCAGAACTAGGATTGACCTCGCGGACGGCGGGGTGAAGCGATATACAGGTTACGATGAAGCAGAGGATCAGGTTGAAGATGATGAAGAATCGATTCAGCCCACACCCGGAGACGCCAAAGAAGCTCAGATCGATGATACTGATTGCAATCGTGAGTAAATGCATCGAAAGCGTGATAGTGACCAGAGTGTAGCCCCACAGCTTAGAGCGCCAATCGACCATATCGGCGCACTTCTCGATCTCCAAGAGCACATAATCACCGAAGACGTACGCGAAATCGACCAGTAGAACGAGGCCAAAGAAGATGAAAACCATCGAGCCAAGCCATGCGATATATCGAGAGTAGAACATGAAGAATCCGTTGGGGATAAAGAAGGTGGAGAAGACTAGTAGAAGCCAGATGAGAACCTTGGGTCCCCACCATCCATTCTGTATGACGGCCATTTTCTGTCTGGTATTTCGAACTCTTAGCAGTAAGAGTGCCAGGATAACGTGGAACAAGGTGAGGGCAAAACATATCCTGTGGACAGCCAAGACACCATAACAAGTATCCTCTGGGCAACTAACGATTGAAGAAAAACAAATGTCAATTTTGTGAGAGCGTCTAACGACAGTAAAAAGGAACTGACCTCATTTTGATGTAATCATAGCTCCAACTTTCAAGTTTTTTGATTGCAAATGGAGTGAGCATGATCCAAGCGAATAAGCTATTGAGGATGAGGATCAAACAGTATGCGATCCGGGTGGCGATGGAGGATGAAAAGTTGCAGGATTTGCAGAAGGCTGAGGCTGCTTGAGAGGTGCAGAAGAATACCAGTCCACTGATGCAACTAAGCCTAAAGATGCCCCCAAAACACATACACACAAAGAAAAAAAGTCAGACGTGGTTGAGAAATTTCAAACAAGATAGAAATAAAGACGTACCCTATAGTGGATACCATTCCGCTGACTGCTCCAAGCAGAGGAATCGAAAGAAAGGCACCCATCCCGGAAAACGATGATAGACTCTCAAAAAATGGGTGCTTTGAGGTCGCTGGTCCTCCGGAGTTTCAAAGTTGGTTTAGATGCGGTTTGAGGGCAAGTTGAAGAACGGTTGGGTCTAGCCTCGAGAGTTTAGCTGCGTAGTCGAAGGAATCGAATGGGAAATGGACCGAGTCGACCAGATATGGTTGGTTCAGTTGGTTGCTTGGAAGGTGACAGTCACAAGCTGGGCTCCATGCTCCGACTTTAGAGCATCTCCACCCCGGGAGCTAGACAAATCGCAGTGCTATAAATGGACAAAAATACCAAATATTACAGCAGACCCAAATCATGATTCATTCATTGCAGAATGGAAAGAAAAAAAAAAGGACAGAGCGGATAACCTAGCTACCAAATGGTAGATACACCTGTCAGGACATGAACAACAGTCGATACAACCAGGAGGGAGACACAATGGATAAAAAGAAAAGAAAGACGGTGGACACATGCGAAAGCAATTTATAAATGGTGCGGGTACATAGGGGGAAGCTGATCAAGGCTTGGTGAGGAGCATGTCGACTTGCTTGGGGTCGATTTTGGGACCGGGCTTGGTGTCATCAGTGACCTTCGTTTTCTGAGAGCCAAAGAAGACCATTCGAGAATCAGTATTTTTTTTTTCTTGCTTCGATGTTAAAAGCTGACACTGACTGCATTGGCACAGGCGTTCAAGCACCATCGTGCAAACGCCTGCTCCTTGGCACCACAGTTTCATCTTATGGGTCCCTAGAACTACTGTGAATTTTTCTGTCGGATGAGCCAGCTTTGGGCACTGCCTGTTGATACCTTCCAGCATATTTTATTCCCATTTACCCTGCCTGCATTATCATAGCAAAACGTTATCTCACTGAGTCACACGACTGGTTGAGGTGGCTTCAGCCCCACCAGCTCAATCCCTTGGTGATTGGATTGTACCACGCCCGTGTTGCTCGCCTCCAAGTCTCAAGCTGTGCCCGATAAGTTCTCTAATGTTGGATTCGCTTCTTTTAGTTTTCACTATAAGACGGAGCGTTTTTTGTCCCATCGATAACAAAAAAGCTTGACCAAGTTGCAACCACACCTAAAACTCGTCTCTGTTCTTACATAGTTTCCCGGGCTCAGCATTCCTTCTCAGTTTCTTCCTACTCGTGCCAGTTCAATTAAAATTTACACATCTATACATACTCCATTGTCCAATTTTGTTGTGTCGTTATGCATTTCTTAAAATCACTCATGCTGATGGCAATCATAACTTTCCAAATTGCAATCGCGGATCAAGCCTACGAGCAGGATCACCGGAAGGTTTTCAGATGCCGTCGATTAGATGACGAATCGTTGGACGAGCGGATAGCAGTTTGCGGCGGAGTCTCCAAAACAGACCCAAATAAATATGAGAGTCAGTCTCGCGTTAACCGATGATGGATCAATTGATAGCCTTATGAAAACGACATGACTGATTGTTCAAACTCTTTCCGATTCTCAAAAATTCAACAGTGACCAGAGCCAACTCAGTAGTAGATGACCAAAGAGCTCACAACTGCATTGGAGCCCCCTTACAAGAAATGCGATCTTGCCGAAAAAGCGCATTCAAACTTCCACAAAACGTGAGCACTATTTCATCTGAACGCTTCTTTCAACTCTCCGAGTCCAAGTTACTAATTATTTCATGAATGTGTCGAAATGTCCCCATAATTCCATTAATAGCCAAAGCACGGATTTAAAACAATCACTGTAGATTTATCAGCAACTGAATATAACTACAATTGTATAGGAGTAAGACTGGAGGTCAACCCTATACAGATAAGACTGTAATTCCTGGAACTTTTCAATGCAATGCCCCAATGCCCAAAAGCAATCTGCTTCTTGGTAGTCTGCTTCCTTACCGTTCAACTTTGATTATGTAAAACTTGATGAATTGAGTCTCAGAGGTCTGTAGATCTGTCAATTGTCTCTTTCCAATAGCATTCCTTGTATTCCTCTGTGATTGTTGATATTACAAAATCTGAAAATCCAGTGGTGATGTTTTTCACATGTTGATGGCAACGAGGAATTCTTCCCATTTAATCAGGCTGTGACTTGTTTGACCTAAGGGAGTTGATCCCAGTCAGGAAGGTTTTACAACTTGATCAACCGGTAGGAATGGCCCAAATTCCTCCCAGTGGATCAGGTTGTGAAAATCAATCTCATCAACATTTCATTTTATCCTCCTTCATATCTTCATTTGTATTGTTACCAACCTGATTCTGAAATAACCAATCCTACACATTTCACGATTCTTTGATAGTAAAGTATTGGGAAGCTGATTTACATGCTGAAGGTCAACCTCAATGAACACTGTTCTGATGCCTTGGAAAGTTTTCAAACATATAGAGTATTCATAATATCCAAATTGAGCAAAAATTAGGATTAGTAATTTCATCAAGATTGTACCAGCGCCTCAACTGCTCTATCTTATTTCCAACAAGCTGAGGAAATTTTTTTTGTGATAAAATTAGAGGGAATTATATTGAATTTTGCCTTTTGAATTTCCTTGCAACTACATTACAAATGAAAATGATCCACACACCACCACTCCAAACTTTGCTTAATTTCTGTTGATGGATGAGTGAAAGAGTCAAAGAGGGAAAGACTCGTTAAGTTTGCATTTCTAGATGAGCAAGCTCAAGCTTTAAATAGTGAAAGAAAGAATCAGCGGTGGGCCGCTGCGCTACAGGCCCATGTAGCGTTATCGTAGCAGTGCCATTTTTTTCATGTAGTGTTAGCGCGCCGCTACTGCTGCTGCGCTACGCTAACTTGTAGCGGCGCTAACACTAGCCAAATTTTGGTGTAGTGTTAGCGCACTGCTGGCGCCGCTACGCTACAGCGTTTTTAGCGGCAAAAAAAGCCTAAAGACCGCTAAAAACGGCTGTAACGCAGCGTAGCGGGCGGTTTTTTGCGCCCTGTGCGCGTAGCGTTAGCGCACATGGGGGGGATTGCGCTAACGCTACGCTAAACGTTAGCGCAAATTTTTCCCCTATGCGCGTAGCGTTAGCGCAGAAATTGAAAAATGGGCTAATGCTACGCTACATTGTAGCGCTTTTTCGCTACACTACGCTAAGCTAACGCTACAGTTAGCGTAGCTGGCCCACCGTTGAAAGAATGCTACAAATGAGATAAAACAATATAAAGCTATTCTAATCTGGACTGATGAGAGCACAGAAAGATACAAGCATGAATAAGAAAATATGCTAATAAAGAGTTTGAGAAAAAAACAGAGAGCTACAATACATGAATACTAACAATTTCCCCTGGGGGATATCAATCAAAAAATGTTAATGGGATATGCAGGATATCAAATGTACAGTGCCTAGACAGTGAAAAGTAGCTGCTTATTTTGGATTCCAGAGCTCTGAAACACAAATTTGAAATCATGAGACTTGGTCAGGTGGTGCATAATAGGTCCCAAAAAATGAATATGAAATAATCAAAGCAAAAAATAAAGTTTCAAAATTTGTGAAAAATAAAAAATAAAATTGATTTTTTTCAAAAGCTTTGATATTCATTTTGGGAGAGTGGGAGTGCTGAGAGAAAGAAAGATTGGGAAATGAGAAGAATGATTATAAATGAAAATTTTGGAAAAACTGGTTTTCAGATGGCTTCAAACAGCTGTTGAGTGGGGCATTCACCAGCCCACATTGCAGTAAAGCACTAGAATTTACTGTTTTGGCTCCAATCTGGACCACCAACCTGGCCAAACCTTTTTGGTTCCAATTTTTTTCATTTATAATCATTCTTGCCATGTTCCATTCTTTCTTTCTCTCAGCACTCCCACTCCCCCAAAATGAATATCAAAGCTTTTGAAAAAAATCAAGTTTATTTTTTTATTCTTAACAATATTTGAAAATTTATTTTTTTGCTTTTTATTATTTCATATTACACTTTTTGGAACCTACTATGCACCACCTGACCAAGTCTCAATGATGTCAAAATTGTGTGTAAGAGCTCTTGAAAT